AGGTTACACTGGATTGGCTGTCAGCAATGCTCATTCGAAAGTGGGAGAGGATTATTTGGAAATACCCCTAATATTCCCAATTGCCCTAACCCATCACCGTAGGATATCTACGCAGCAGAGATTCCTCACTTGAGCAACCACCGAGGGAAACCACTTAGGCGCCGATTCTGGAAGTTACCAGCTCCGCGCTTATGGTACCAGCCCCTCGCGTGGTTTTGAACACAAGGGATACGCTGAGCAGCACTTCACACATGTTGTTGTACTCAAGGCAGTGGGACTAGCAGACCACGTGGTGGACAGGGTTACTACTAGTGATTCTGCTCTCCATTCCGCAGCACTACGATGCCGAGTGGGTACGACTCACGACAACACTACGGCATGGACCATCATTCGACAGAAGCTGCATGTAACGGATACAACACTGCTACAGAAGTAGTACTACGACACGACTGCCATACCAGCAACACTTGGTGATCTTCACACGTGGACCAGATGCGGGTAACAGCATGCATAGATCGGACAACATAGCCATTCATCTGCATGTTACAGCACACTGTTCCAACCATTCACATCTCCAACTCCAACTTGCACCTGCCCAAATATCACTGACGGCGATACACATCATCCTTCCTTTACTGTGGACAGAGCTTGCTCATTCCGTAGCAACAGACAGTTCTTGCTAGAGTCCAACTTCTTACGATTTCATCACCGTTGTCCATCAGCTCTAACACCGGATACGCCACTTGGACATCCAACAGCAACAGAAGCACCTGGCTGCTCATCACCACAGTTATCCACACCAACCAAGCTTTAACCTTGCTTCTGCGGGTCTATCCGCCTACCAGCCACTTGGAAGATCCATAACACCTTCCATACCTGATTTTTAAACCCTATCAAGACCAAACACGCTTTACAACGAATGCCAACCACCGTCGCCACGGGTGTTCATCCACGCCATGGGACAACAACTTGCTCGGACACCGTCGTCGTTAGAATGGCACTCTGGAGCTTTCTTTGCTGGAAGGGTTGTGATCCTTTTGAGGCTGCGTCTCTGAATTCGACATAGGGAACGCCTGTCGTCCTCTTCGCGACTACCTTGTCAAGCAGGGTGTTACTTCTACCACCCAGCTTTGAGGGGTGGAAGTGTGAGAGTACGACACCGTTACACCAATTTCCCCTTTCCATATTTCCTTTCTATTTCATTCCTCTTTTTATCCTGATTCATTTGGTCTTTATCTCATCTCATTTGGTTTCCTGTTCCTCCTTTTTCATTATCATTTGGTTTATGTTGTTATTATAATTATATCACCAACCAGGCTCGGGATGTACTGGTGCGCTATATCTAGCGTAATCCTGTTGTAATCCCTTAAAGCCAATAGCCTCGCATGGCTATACACACGGTGATTCTATTTCTAGAAGGGTCTATTCCCTTTGGATAGGATAAACCTGGTTACCTGATGTACTCTGGATGTATAAAAGCACCTTGACCTGATTGATAGGGCAACATTGAGCAAACCTTTCCTCGACACATTCGATCTTGTGACAGGATTTCTCCCATGTCTGTGGGTCGGTGCAGGTAGTCCGAATGAGTTGCTCCATAGTTTGGTTGACTCGTTCAGTCTGCCCGTCAGTCTGTGGGTGGTAGGCGGTGGAAAACTGTAGTTTGGTGCCGAATTGGTCCCACAGGTGGCGCTAGAAATTCGATGTGAATTTCGGGTCTTGGTCTGAAATAATGGCAGAGGGTAGTCTGTGCAGTCGGATGACGTTGGCGATGAACAGTTGGGCAGTTTGCTCAGCTGTAATTTTCTGTTGGCAGGCGATGAAGTGCGCCATTTTTGTGAGTCGGTCAACGACCACGAGGATGGCGTCGTTTCTGCTGGGACCGGCCGGCAGTCCTGTTACGTACTCCATCGTGACGTGTTGCCAAGGTCGCTCTGGCGGATCCAACGGCTATAGGAGTTCGGCTGCTCGCTGTTGGGATGATTTCATAATCCGGCAGGCGGTCAGGAGGAGACGCACTTGCGCACGTCGTCGGCCATGTTCGGCCAGTAATAATTGCGCTGCAACGTCTTCAGGGTTTTGTCGACGCCGAAATGCCCGGAGGTAGGATTGTCGTGGGATTCCTAGATAAGGAGGGTACGCAGTTAATCGTAGCCAGAAACCCAGATGCGGGAAGTGTCGCGCTTATTAAAATAATTTCCGGTAACGGTAGTATGCTGTTGGTGAATGGCGGAGCGGAAGAATGGGTCGATCTTGTAGCCGTTGGTGAATAGTCCGGTAAGGAGTGGGCTGGTCTAGGAGAATAGTATGGCGGCAATGTGGGTAGTGGGTCGGGTCAGGGCATCAGCAATGTTGTTGGCGCCCCGCTTGTAGGTGATGGTGTAGTGGAAGTTTGACTCGAGGAAATCGGGCCAGCGGATCTATCGAGGGTTGAGATTCGGTTGGGCTCGCACGTACTGGACGGATTTGTGGTCGGTCCGCACGGTGACGTCAGCACCTGTCAGGTAGCACCGCCAGGTCTTGAACGCGTGGACGATCGCCAACATTTCCTTGTCATGTACTGTATAATTTTTCTCTACGCCCTGCAGCTTCTGTGATTTGTAGGCGACCGGCTGTAATGCGTCGTCAAAATCTTGTAGAAGAACTGCACTGATGGCGATGTCACTGGCGTCGGTGATGACTTCGTATGGACGGTCAGGATCGGAAATGCGAAGGATGGGCGGCGACGTGAGGGCGATCTTCGATTGCTCAAATGCAGCTTGCTGCTACTCTCCCCACAAAAACAATCGTGATCCTTGAGGCGGTCAGTTAGCAGGGCAGATAACCCAGCCATATTGGGGATAAATCTGCAGACGTACTGTCACAGGATCGAATGTCTCGAGGAAAGGTTGCACTATCGATCAATACAAGGCGCTTTTATACTTCAAAAGTACATCAGGTAACCCGGTTTATCATATCCTAAGGGAATAAACCCTTCTAGAAAATAGAATCACCCTGCGTATAGCCGCGCGAGGCTATTGGCTTTAAGGGATTACGGCAGGAGATAGAGCGCATGAGTACATCCCCGGCCTGGTCGGTGAGATAATCATAATACCAGGATAAACCAAAGGTTTATGGAAAAGGAGAAATAGGAATCCAAATGGAATGAGATAAAAAACCAAATGGATCAAGATGGAAAGAGGAATGAAATGGAAAGGAGAAAGGAATCGTACTCTCACACTTCCCCCCCCTCGAAGCTGGGTGGTAGACGTAACACCCTGCTTGACAAGGTAGTCGCGCAGAGGACGACGAGCGTGATCCATCTCGGATTCAGAGACCCAACTATCCTCTGAAGGATCATAACCCTTCCAACGGATGAGAAGCTCCACGGTGCCATTCCGCCGACGGCGGTGAGCAAGCACAGACTCGACCTCGTACTCGGGTTCATTATGGACGAGGACGGGCGGCGGCGGCGGCGGTTGGCATCCAAAGAAGACCGTATTGGGATCTCGGTAGGGCTTCAAGAGTTGGACATGGAAGGCGTTGTGAATCTTCCAGGTAGCTGGTAGGCGTAAGCGGAAGGTTACAGGAGTGACTTGTGCTTCAACGAGAAAAGGCCCGCAGAAGCGAGGTCGGAATTTGGATGGGAGATGGCTGATGTCAAGATTGCGTGTGTCGAGTAGTACTCGAGCTCCCACGGTGATGGTGTGGTCTATGCGGTGGCGATCGGCTTGGCGCTTCTGTTGTTCCTGAATGTTGAGAAGGCGCTTGTGGGTCCGATCCCAAAGTTTGTGCATGGTCGTGATGAAATCATGAGCAGGTTGGACTGTGGCTGGTATGGTTGGATGTTGAGATGTGAGTGGGTGGCGTCCGTAACAGAGGAAGAACGGCATCTGTCCAGTAGCGGCGTGAGTAGCATTGTTGTAGGCAAACTCCTGGACAGGCAGATGCAAGTCCCATTTGGAGATGTCGTCCTTGCAGGCTGCGCGGAGGAGTTGCTCCACAATTTGGTTGAGGCGCTCGATCTGTCCATCTGTTTGCGGATGGTATGCGGATGACATGGCGAGTTTGGTTCCGAGCAGATACATCAGTTCTTTCCAGAATTTACTGGTGAACTTAGGGTCTTGGTCGTGTTGTGTGATGTCATCATATGCTATCACATTCTGTCTGCCTCCCATCCCATGTTTTTTCAACTTGCATGTGTGGTTTGAATGTGCAAGCATTTGTGTGTGGTGTGTTCTGGAGTTTGGGAATGTGTTTTGTGTTATTCTGTCTGAGCAGGTATTTGTGATAATAGATCTTGAGAAGATCTTTCCGACGCAACAAGAATCGCTTCAATCGGAGCAAGAACGCGAAAGCTATGAAGATTCAAAGTTCATGAGCTTGCGTTACAATTGCGGCGGTTACTAAGTGAAGTTGTGGGGTGACTTTATATGGAGTTGGGACCTTTGGGGTTGGGGAAACTTGTCACTCTACTGTAACAGCTGCAAATTGGTTGGGAACAACCAAGCTAGGTTGGCAAGGGTGGCCAACTTGGATGGATTGGTTGGGAAGGGACAAATGTCAAAGTTGGGGTTCCTATAGGGAGGGAATCTTTGTGCTTATGGGGTTTCCTTGGTTGGGGACTCTCTTGGGACCTTCCCTCTCATCCCTCTCTTCCTATCCCAACCTTTCTCTTGCTCCTTCTAATTCCTTGTGAGATTCTTGAACTTTGATTGAACTCTTGAGATTGAGTTAAGTTCTCCTCCTACAGCTTACCCCCTAGTGCGTCGAAAGCCATAGCGTCGCGAATACTTCATCAATCAACGTGATTCAAATTGGGAACGGTAGCTGAGATCAAGAGCTACAACATATCCAAGTTTCGCGACATTCCAACGGCTAGTGTTTTGTCGACGTCGTTTCTTGTGAAGACGACTTTTCTGTCCAGAATTTCGGATTTATATTTTGAGTAATTCTAGCTCCTAAGTTCACCTAGACTCTGTCCTTAATCCTAACAAGTGGTATCAGAGCTGTATTAAGGACGTTGAGAGGAGTCTACAGAAGTGTGAAGACCCTTCTAGACCCACCATGGCCTGTGGGTGTGCCTAAGTGGTGTTCTAAAGGTTGGATGTGTCTTCCGCTAAGGGGAAACTCTGCCGAAATTTCGTGGACGCCGACACTTGTGAAAATATCGAGGGAGCTGAGTGTGGACAGCAAAGGGGGGCTGAAATTCGTCATTTCTCAAGGAGAAGATGAATGAGAGAGGAGGAGATGCTAATGGAAGAGGAGCTGTAGCTGAGAAGACAAGTGAACCGCCGCCATCAAAAGTTGAAGCTTTGGATGGCTCCAACTATGAGGAATGGAGCGGACGGATGAGGAGTGCCTTCAAACGCTACAAGCTCCTGAAGATTGCTGTTGGGGAAGAGAAGATGCCGGAAGAAGGCGAAGCACGTGAACGGTGGATTGAGAAAAGCGCGGTGCTTTTCGACCTCATTCTTCAATCGGTCAACAAGGAGATGTTCGAGCACATCAAGGATCTTGTGGAAGCGGATGATTCGGGTCCAAGGGCGTGGAAACTACTACGTGATGTGGTTCAGCCCAACACTCTCCCGATGGTGATCGTGCTCGAGAAGGAACTTGCTGCCATCTCCATGCGACCAGGGGACGATGTGAAGCCGGTCCTTGACAAGATCAAGGACACCTATGCAAGGATGGCAGCAGCGGGCAGCAGTGTATCTCAGCTGCAGCAGTGCACCAAGATCATCTCGGTGTTGGACAACTCTTGGGACAACCTCATCCCCACCCTCAACTCTCAGCAAGATCAATGGACACCTGAGTGGCTAAGGCAGCAGATTCTGCAGGAGGACTTCCGCAGACGCCATGTGGGAGGCGGTGCTGCCACTAAGACTGCTGAGGGGTATGGAGCTGCAGGGCGCAGCAGAGGAAGAGGGGGTTGGAGAGGCCGAGGCCGTGGGAGAAGCTTTGGCAGAGGTAGAGGCCGAGGTGACTATAATGAGGGGCATGGGAGCTCCAGTGGCAGGGGGAGTACCAGAATGGAGGGCACCTGCTGGTACTGCAAGAAGGTCGGGCATCCTTGGTTCAAGTGCTTCAGCAGGCTGGAGGGATGGTCACCTCCAGGCATGAAGCCGCCAAGTGGTGAACGCGCACAAGGTGGCGCTGTGCAAGGCTCAGGTGCACAAGGTGAAGGTGCACAAGGTAACGCCTATCCTGGGATGTATCTCATGGTTGAGGATGTGCATGGGCATGAGGGTGATGTGGGATCTGTCGGAAAGGTTGTGATGCACCCTCTCACGCACTGGGTGATTGATTCGGGTTGCACCAGTCACATGACTCCACGGGCAGATTTGCTTGATGAGGTAAAACCCCCTGGGAAGATTAAGTATGTGGCAGCAGCGTCAGGTGCTTTGCTCCCCGTGATTGGTGTTGGGAATGCCAAGGTTAAGGGAGCTAATGGGGAGCTTGTGGGGCTTGGGAATGTTCTGCTGGTTGAAGGCTTGTCTGCTAACCTTCTCTCTGTGCGACGACTGCAGAAGAGCAAGGCCGAAGTGACCTTTGGACCAACCAGCTGCCGTGCTAAGCTTGGGAAGAAGGTGCTGTGGAGTCTGGAAGAGGAGACCAGCTGCATCAAGGACCTGTGGCAGCTGCCCATCATCCCATGGAATGGGAAGACTCCAACAGCAGCAACGGCAGCAGCGGCAAAGGCAACAGCAGGAGGAGATGCAACTGCACCAACTGATGGGGTCCTGGAAGCAGTCAAGAAAGTGCAGCAGCAGCAGAGACATGGTGAGGTGCTTGCTGGTGTGGATGCGAGTGCGGCATGGGCTAAGGCTTCATCAAGGAGTGGAGAGGCCGATTGGGAGACATGGCATGAGAGGCTGTGTCATGTGAACTTCCCTATGCTGCAGAAGTTGGTGAAGGATGGGAGCCTGAAGGGCTTGGAGGTGAAAGGGGGAGTGAAGGAGATTGGGAGCTGCCCTACATGCTTGGAGACCAAGTTCTCCAAGTTCCCCTTCAACAGCACTACAGGACCAGCCAAGACCCCACTTGCACTTGTGCACATGGATGTGGTGGGGCCCACAAGAGCCCCTTCCCTCTCAGGCAGCCGCTATTTCTTGACAATTGTGGATGACCACACTCGGGCAGTGTGGGTTTACCCTTTGAAGAGCAAGGGGGAGGTGGCAGCGGCTGTCCTTAAGGAGTGGATGCCTAGAGCTCAGAGGGAATGCGGACACAAGGTGAAGGTGATCCGTAGTGACAATGGTGGGGAGTTCATTGGAGCTGATTTTGAGGGGGAGTTGAAGAGGAAGGGGATCCAGCATCAACTGACAGTGCCCTACAACCCGCAGCAGAATGGCGTGGCTGAGAGGTTCAACAGGACCCTGCAGGAGGGGGCACGCACTCTCCTTGGGCGTGCAGGGCTGCCTGATCCGTTTTGGGTGTCTGCACTGAGGCAGGTCGCCCTTGTGAAGAATAGGGTGCTGGCTACAGTTGGAGATAAGGAGTGGATCCCATATGCCAAGTGGTATGGGAGTGCTCCAGCGGTGAACATGCTGAGGGCATTTGGGTGCATGGTGGTGTTTCATGTGCCCAAGGAGAAAAGGGGGAAGTTGGAGGCTTCTGGAAGATGGGGTGTGCACTTGGGGATTGCAACGGATCACAAGGGGTGGCTGCTATGGGACTTGACCACCCAGAAGTTGACAGTGTCAAGGGATGTGAAGTTTCTTGAGTCCCTGTACTACAAGGAATGGAAGCAGCAGCAACAGAAGCTTCCATCTACACCGCTCATTGTGGAGGCAGATGAGGTGCAGCACCCTTCAAGACAGGTGGAGGTTGCAGTGTCAGAGGAGGAGATGTCTGGGGTGACTGAGGAAGGGGGAGCAGCTGAAGTAGAGCAGCAGCAGCAGCAGCATGAGTCTCCACCTCGAGTTCCACACCCGCCTGAGCGTCCTAGGAGGGATGTGCGCCCTCCAGTGAGGCTGACCTATGGGGGAAGAGGCAAGCCAAATGTGGTGCAGGCTGGGAGTGTGGTTGAGCAGATTGAGGAAGATGAGATCGCTCACTGCTACTGGGCACCAATCCCTGAGCCCAAGACTCGAGAGGAGGCCTTGAATGGACCAAATGGGGAGAAGTGGAAGGCGAGTGAGGATGAGGAGTTCGGGTCCCTAATTGAGAACGAGACATGGGACCTGTGTGACTTGCCTCCTGGAAAGAAGGCAATCACTTCCAAGATGATCTACAGGCACAAGTATGGACCTGAAGGGGAGCTGACCCGCTACAAGTCCAGGCTTGTGGCAAGGGGGTTTCAGCAGACAAAAGGGAAGGACTATGATGAGGTGTTTGCTCCTGTGGGGAAAGGAACAACACTGAGGGTGCTGTTGGCGATAGCTGCACTCCTGGGATGGAAGATACGGCAGATGGACATTGTGACTGCCTTTCTGAATGGGATCATTCTGGAGGAGGTGTACATGAAACAGCCAGAGGGGCTGGATGACGGGAGCGGCAGGGTCTGCAGGCTGAAGAAGGCCATCTATGGCCTTAAGCAGGCGCCTCGTGCATGGTATCACAAGTTGGAGGAGGCGCTGTTGGCTGGGGGTTTCAAGAAGAGTGAGTGTGACCCCAGCCTGTTCCTGCTGCAGGAGAAGGATGAAATCCTCATGCTCTTGGTGTATGTGGATGATATCCTTCTCTTTTCTGCATCAACTGCTTTGCTGGACAGCGCAGAGCAGATGCTGGAGATGCAGTTCAAGTGCTCCAAGATGGGTGAGGTGAAGTACTACTTGGGGATGCACGTGGAGAGAGATGTGGAAAAGGGTGTGCTGAGGTTGCACCAGAGGAAGTACTGTGAGGGGCTGGCTGAGAAGTATGGGCTGCAAGATGGGGGAAAGCCAGCAACACCACTACCTTCAGGGTTTACTGTGGAGCCATGTGCTGATGAGGAGGTAGTGGGTGAGAGTGACAGGAAGCTGTTTCATTCGATGGTTGGGTCGCTGAATTATGCTGCAAATCATACACGGCCTGACATTGCATTTTCTACATCACGGTTGGCTAGTGTGGTCTCACGCCCTAGTCATGAGCAGCTGGAAGCGGCCAAGAGGTTGGTCCGCTATGTGAGTGCTACGGCATCAGTGGGATTGGAGTACAGTGGAGTGAGGCAGCGGTTGCAGAGAGGTGCTGCAGATGTGAAGAGTGGAAAGATGCTCTTGAGTTGCTATACTGACGCTAGCTTCAACTCAGTGAAAGCGGATGGCACCAGCATTGGGGGTTATGTGTGCTTGCTAGGAGGTGGTGCTGTGAGCTGGCGCAGCAAGAAGCAGAATGAGGTGGGATTGTCTTCATGTGAGACTGAGTACATGGCCTTACACCATGGGGCCAAGGAAGTGGTATGGCTGAGGCGTTTGTTGGAGGAGTTGGGAGTTGGTCAGGAGGAGCCGACAGTTGTGTTCTGTGACAATGAGTCTGCAGTGAAGCTGGCCAAGAATGCTTGTCTGCATGGGCTGACAAAACACATAAGGCCTAAGTGGCATTGGGTGAGGAGAATCCTTGATAAGGAGGTGCGGCTGGAGATAGTGAAGACCCATCAGCAGGCAGCAGATATTTTCACTAAGCGTCTTGCGGAGGCGGATCATTGGAAGGGCATGAAGCTTGCTGGGATGAGTGTGCATTGAGTATGCATGCTTGAGATGTGGTATGGTCGATGATGGTTGGCAGCCAGAGGGGGAGATTGTTGTGTGATGTCATCATATGCTATCACATTCTGTCTGCCTCCCATCCCATGTTTTTTCAACTTGCATGTGTGGTTTGAATGTGCAAGCATTTGTGTGTGGTGTGTTCTGGAGTTTGGGAATGTGTTTTGTGTTATTCTGTCTGAGCAGGTATTTGTGATAATAGATCTTGAGAAGATCTTTCCGACGCAACAAGAATCGCTTCAATCGGAGCAAGAACGCGAAAGCTATGAAGATTCAAAGTTCATGAGCTTGCGTTACAATTGCGGCGGTTACTAAGTGAAGTTGTGGGGTGACTTTATATGGAGTTGGGACCTTTGGGGTTGGGGAAACTTGTCACTCTACTGTAACAGCTGCAAATTGGTTGGGAACAACCAAGCTAGGTTGGCAAGGGTGGCCAACTTGGATGGATTGGTTGGGAAGGGACAAATGTCAAAGTTGGGGTTCCTATAGGGAGGGAATCTTTGTGCTTATGGGGTTTCCTTGGTTGGGGACTCTCTTGGGACCTTCCCTCTCATCCCTCTCTTCCTATCCCAACCTTTCTCTTGCTCCTTCTAATTCCTTGTGAGATTCTTGAACTTTGATTGAACTCTTGAGATTGAGTTAAGTTCTCCTCCTACAGCTTACCCCCTAGTGCGTCGAAAGCCATAGCGTCGCGAATACTTCATCAATCAACGTGATTCAAATTGGGAACGGTAGCTGAGATCAAGAGCTACAACATATCCAAGTTTCGCGACATTCCAACGGCTAGTGTTTTGTCGACGTCGTTTCTTGTGAAGACGACTTTTCTGTCCAGAATTTCGGATTTATATTTTGAGTAATTCTAGCTCCTAAGTTCACCTAGACTCTGTCCTTAATCCTAACAGGTCGGAGATGAGTGTGGTCGGAATGCCATGTTTTGAGATGATGTAGCGAACAAAGAGTTGTGTTGTCTCCTCGGTGCGTGCTGTCGCGTGTGTCGGGATGAAGTGTCCCATTTTGGGGAACTCGTCGATGACGACGAGGATCGCGTCATGACCGCTTGTGGTAGTTGGTAGCCCGGTGATGAAGTCTAGGCTGACCACTTGCCATGGCTGTTCTGGGACAGGAAGAGGCTGTAGCACACCCGCCTTTTTCTGATTGCTACTCTTCATCTGCTGACGTTTAGTGCACGAGGTGACGAATTTCTGTACGTCATCTGCCATGTGGGGCCAGTAGTAGTGTTTGGCGATACCGGTGAGCGTCTTGTTGCTACCGAAGTGTCCCGCGTATAGGACGTCGCGGTATTCTTCGAGTAGTAACTGGCGCAATGGAGGGTAATTAGGTACCCAGCTCTTCATTGATCCTTTCCAGTACGCGATGTCCTTGTCCCGCTGTAGCAGATGTCGCTTTTCTGCCAAGGGAATTTCTGGGTCGATGGTATACCCGTGTATGAAGAGTCCCTTGAGGAGTGGACTCATTCCTTCAACTTGGATGGCGGCAACGTGTGCGGGCCGGCTAAGCGCGTCTGCTTTGTTTTTGTGGCCAGGCTTGTACACGATGTCGTAGTGGAAGTGTGTCTCGAGGAAGTCAATCCACCGGACCTGCTGCGTGGAGAGGCTTGGTTGCGTCTTCAAATATTTTAGGCTGCAATGGTCGATGCAGAGTGTCATCTTGCGCCCTTCAAGATAACATCTCCACGTTTTGAAGGCGATGATGATAGCAAGGGCCTCCTTGTCGTGTATTGGGTAGTTGAGTTCCGCTCCATGCATTTTTTTGCTGAGGTAACCAATTGGTTGCAGGCCATTCCCCTGGTCTTGCATCAAGACTGCTCCCACTGCCTGGTCGCTGGCGTCAGCTTCGATAACGTAGTCGCGTTCGGGGTCTGGCAAGATGAGTACGGGTGCGGACGTGAGTGCTTGTTTCAGCTGCTCCACGGCTTCCTGGTGTTGTGGCTCCCATTTATAGGGCGTGTTCTTCTTTAACAGATTTGTGAGTGGTGTGGCGATCTTCGCGTATTGTGGCACGAACTGCTATAACTCCTTTACATTCTCGGGTGTCTTCCATGTACGCACGGCTTTGATTTTCTTGGGGTCGACGTGAACTCCTTGAGCGCTTATGATATGTCCGAGGAATTGGACCTTCTCGAGGGCGAAGTCGCTCTTTGATAGTTTGACGTAGAAGCGTTCTCGTCGAAGAATTTCGAAGACGCGTCGTAGGTGCTCGACGTGTTGTTGCATGTCGCGCGAGTAGATGAGGATGTTGTCCAGGTACACCACTACGCATTCGTCCAAGAGTGGGTGTAGGATATGATTCATCTCTGCTTGGAATGTTGCAGGTGCGTTGGTGAGTCCAAACGGCATGACCAAATAATCATATGATGCGTACCGAGTTCGGAAGGCAGTTTTGTGAACGGAATCGTCCGCCATTCTTATCTGCCAGTATCCGGACCGAAGATCTAGTTTTGAAAATACCATAGCTCCCCGAAGACGGTCAAGCAGGTCATCGATTCGTGGTATCGAATATTTGTTCTTGATGGTCTGCTTGTTGAGAGCTCGGTAGTAGATGCACATGCGCAGGCTTCCGTCCGGTTTTGGTGTGAAGAGTACTGGGGCACCGTATGGCGAAGTTGTTAATTGCACATCAGCATGAGTGCATAACATCCTAATGTCCTGCCGTATGATCATCTCATTCGTGCATGCATGTGTGCATGAGCATATATCACATTGCTCGCCATCTTTGATATTCTCATCATCCTGATTTTCTCCCAAGATCGAATGCATGGAAAATGCAGGAGAAAGCGTGAGCATTCCAACGACCCCAAGATCGCCCCAATCCGACCGATGATGCCGAAGTTACAAGAATTCCAAGATTGGAAGTTCTAATGACAAATGCTATACCTCGGGTATCTCATGGGTCTTATAATGGGGATCTTGTGGTTAGATGGTTGGGGAGAAAACTTTGACTTTTGGTTGGGGTGGCTTGGTTGTTACAAGCAAAAATATGCAAGTGTTGCAAATGTTGCAACATCTTACCAAATCCAATCTCTTTGGATTTGGCATGTGTCCTCACATGGACAACTTGGAGAGGGGCCTATGGTGTGCTTCTAGGAAGGTTCTAAACCATTCCTAGACATCAGGAAACCTTGTTTCCCTTCCAGGGCCCTCTTAGAGGTCTGAACCCCAAACCATATCTAAATGGTTGTGTGTCTTGCAAGTTCTATCTACTTTCCAAGGCAACGACCAGCAGTTACGTTTTGATTCAGTTCTCACTCTAGAGTTAATATTTTCACCTGATTTAAATTTCAGATGACTCTAGACTTATAGGCGCGTCCTTCCACCGAGCAGATTGGCGTTTGGTTGAGTTGAGGTTCTGCTTAATTCGTGCAAAGTAGGCCGATCCTATCAACAAGTGATATCAGAGCCAGTACCTATCTTTGCGACGACGAATCATGGTCATTTCTCAACCAATGTCTACGAGTAAGACCTGTTTCGATTAGCTCAGGTTGCGAGCTTTCCAACGAGCCTATTTTCAGGTCTTTATGCAAAGGCGTGTGTTCGTGGCGGCGTTTCTTGTAAAGCTGAACATTCAGCCAGAATTCTGCCAGATTCGGTTTGTTACGATTTCTTCATTCCTAGAGCTAGCAGATGCCGAATAGAGGCTCTGTAGGTGCTGAGGGCGAGATGGCACGTGGAGTTAGAGATAGGGAGCAAGGGGGAGCTGTTGGTGACGGTGCTGGAGCTTCACAACCGAGGGGAGAAGCTCAACAGCCTTCACTACCCACGTTATCTACTCCATCTCCACCATCCAACCCTACCGTGGATCCTATGAAGGCTTTCTCAATTGAGAAGTTCATAGGGGAGGGATTTGAGCACTGGAGCTTTCGAATGCGTCTCATGTTTACGCATTATCATCTGCTAGAGCTCGTGGAGGGAAGGGAGAAGATACCGGAGAACGCGGATGACCGTGGCTCATGGATAAAACGCTCGTTCGACACGTACATGCTCTTGGTGCAAGCGGTTGGAGGGCGCCAGTTGGATCACATCAAGGAGCTGCTTGGAGATCCCGAGTGTGGACCAAAGGCATGGAAGAAGCTGCAAGATATCCACTCACCAACTCACGCGACCGGCATTGTGCTATTGGCGCGTCGATTGCGCGACATCAAATTCGTGGATGGAGAGCCAATGCAACCGGTTTTGGATGAGATGCGGGATATCTTCTCCAAATTGCAAGCGGGAGGATTGGTCTACCCTGAGCTCGTGCAGTGTGTGGAGATTGTCATCAGATTGCCGGAGTCTTGGTCTGCTCTTGCTATCAACCTCAACTCTCAGCAATCCCAGTGGAGCTTGGAGTACATTCGCGCACGGATCTTGGAGGAAGATCTACGGTGACAGAGTGTGGATCGCTCGGGGGATGCTGCTGGTTATGGAGTTGGAGGAGGGAGGAGTGGCTTTAAGAAGAAGTGGAAGGGCAAGAAGAATGACAACTCTCAGGAGGAGAGTACTGGAGGTCAAGACAGGAGCCAAGGAGGTGTATGCTTCTATTGCAAGAAGCGCGGTCATCGTTGGAGAAAGTGCTATCAACGGCCTAAGGACTGGACCCCACCTTCATGGACCAATCAGCAAGGAGGCAAAAGGAGTGGGGGAGTTATGGGAGCTGGTGGAGAGGAGGACGAGGAGGAGAAAGGTGGCAAAGTGGGTGAGCGGCGGCCCGGTTTCTTCTTCTTTGTGAACGAGGGTGCTGCGGATCCAGCAATGGCTGCCAAGGTTCTTCTACATCCGCTATCTCATTGGGTCATTGATTCTGGAAGCTCCTGGCACATGACTCCTCGTGTGGACCTGCTTGATGAGATTCAGCCAGCACCAATCGCTACTGTCACATCCGCTACAGGAGCCAAGGCTAAAGTGATGGGCATGGGGCGTGCCATGTTTGTGGGTGCGGATGGCGAGTTGGTGGGCTTGAAGGAGGTGCTTTGGGTACCAGATTTGTGCGCGAATCTGATTTTCACCGGCCGTTTGGGAGATGCGGGCGTGAACACTGAAACCATCGGCTCAGAGCGCTATCGTGCTTATAAGGAGGGCCAACTCATTTGAGACCTGCAGCGTAATGGGGGAGTCCACCGACGCATGTGGCAGATTCCCGTGCTCCCATGGCCTAAAGGGAATGAGCCAGCAGCAGCAGCAGCAGTTGAAGGAGCCATGGATGATGAAGATCATGAGGAGTGTGATGAGGGGCTGATTGCGGCGGCTGGAGCAAGTGCGGCTGTCAAGGCATCGGCAACGTCTGGACAAGCCTCTTGGGAGACATGGCATAGACGTCTTGCACATGTGGCTGTTTCTACATTGGAGGTGATGGCGAGAGAGCAGAGTGTGCAAGGGCTTCGTGTGCATGGAGGCAATGCTGATTCTCGTGACTGCGAGGTGTGCATGCAAAGTAAATTTGCACGTTTTCCCTTTCATAGAGTGGATGGTTCTGCCAAGGCACCATTGGAAGTGGTGCATATGGATCTGGTGGGTCCGATGCGGACTGAGGGCATTGGTGGAGCCTTGTATTTCCTAACTCTGGTGGATGACTGGAGCAGATTTACATGGGCGCGACCTTTGTCAAAGAAGAGTGATGCGGCAGTGGCAATCAAGGAGGATTGGTTGCCAATGGTTGAAAGGCAATCTCAACGGTTGGTGAAGATGCTGAAGAGTGATCGTGGTGGCGAGTTCCTAGGAGCAGATTTCACTGCTTGGCTCAAGAAGAACGGCATTCGACACCAACTGACCTGCCCTGGAACACCACAGCAAAATAGCATTGCTGAACGAGCCAACAGAACCATTGGCGAGGCGGCCAAGGCATTGTTGAGGGATGCTGGACTTCCCTTCAAGTTCTGGCCTGAAGCTGTTCGCCAAGTGGTGACTGTAA